CTCTGATTCTTTATCTCTTCACTTCTCTCTCTGATTCCTTTCTCTTCAACTTCTCTCTTTATCTCTCTCTCTTCACTTTCTCTCTGATTCCTTAATTTTTACCTCTCTCTTTTCAATTTCTCTTCTCTTTTTCTCTCTTTTCCTCTCTCTTTCACTTCTCTCTCTGATTCCTTCTCTTCACTTCTCTCTCTTTCAATTTATTTCTTCTTCTCTCTCTCTTTCAATCCTTACTCTTCACTTCTCTCTCTTTCAATCCTTACTCTTCACTTCTCTCTCTGATTCCTTACTTTTCACTTCTCTCTCTGATTCCTTACTCTTCTTTTCTCTCTCTGATTCCTTACTCTTCCTTCTCTCTCTTTCACAGTTCTCTTTTCCTTCTCTCTCTGATTCTTTTCAATCTCTTCACTTCTCTCTTTGATTCCTCTCTCTTCACTTCTCTCTCTTTCAATCTTCCTTTGTTATCTCTCTCTTTCAATCTTTACTTTTCACTTCTCTCTTTTTCAATCCTCTCTCTTCACTTCTCTCTCTGATTCCTTCTTTTCACTTCTCTCTTTTGTGTTTCCTCTCTCCCTTCTCTCTTTTCCTTTCTTTGCACTTGTCTTTCTCTCTCTTCACTCATCACCTCTCTTTCTCTCTCTCTTTCTCTTCACTTTTCACTCTCTTCATTTCGGCCCACCTGTCTTTTTACGCATCCTCTTATCTGGCTGTTCAATCTGATACATAAGTAAGTGGATCTTATTTTGCTTTATTCTCCATGTTTAGTTAATACAGATCTTATCTTCAATTTCAGATTATTATCTACTTCCGGCAAATGCGTACTTGCACCTTCATAGAATGCACACGCACACAACGTTCTGTCAGTGAATATTATATAAAGATTACCTTAATCTGGAAAAAGGCCACAATTATATATATATATATATATATATATATATATAAATTGTGTATTTGGGCAGCAGTCATTCTTTTATATAAGTTTCATTGAAGACAACTGATAAAGTACAGCAATTAAAAATTTTATTAAATTTTTTTTCTTTCACTTCTCTCCCTCCTTACTCTTCACTTTTCTCTCTCTCTCCTTACTCTTTACTTTTCTCTCTCTCTCTCCTTACTCTTTACTTTTCTCTCTCTCTCTCCTTACCCTTTTCTTTTCTCTCTCTCTCCTTACCCTTTTCTTTTCTCTCTCTCTCTCCTTACCCTTTTCTTTTCTCTCTCTCTCTCCTTACCCTTTTCTTTTCTCTCTCTCTCTCCTTACCCTTTTCTTTTCTCTCTCTCTCTCCTTACCCTTCACTTTTCTCTCTCTCTTTCCTTACTCTTCACTTTTTTCTCTCTTTCCTTACTCTTCACTTTTCTCTCTTGCTCTTTTTATTTAACAATATATACAAAGGAACCTTGGTTCCAAATGTCTCACATATCGAACAAATCTGTTTTCAAACAGAAAATTTGCGATGAAAATGTCTTGGTTATTGAACAAAATTTTGATCCTAGAGTGACATAGCCAAACCGAGTTAACATGAATGGAATAATTTTCGAGTCAACTGCCGTTTTGTATGCATTTGTGTGTTGTGCCATGCTCTTCTTTTCCAATTTTATCATAGCGTGACTTTTCTTTATATTGATTCCTATTGGAAAAATAGCTTTGGTTTCTGAAAATTTTTTATCCCTGAATGGCCTATATGGAATTAATTAAATTTAGGGTGTAGTTTCCACTATTTATATATATATATATATATATATATATATATGAACAAATATATATATATATATATATATATATATATATATATATATATATATAAAAGAGAGAGAGAGACAGACAATAATGTCAGAGTGAATAGCTGTTTTTTCATTGCTCAAAGAAGTGATGTATTTTAAAAGGGAATTTTTATTTTAAATTATACTTTTTAAAATATTTTTCTTTGTTTATTATAATTTTGTTATATTTTCATGCTTTTAGAATATTTAATTATTATTATATATACATTTTATTTTATTTTTAAAATAAGTATTTTAGCAAGTTTACTTTATTAAAAAAGACTATTATCCCTAGGAATGGTTATATTAGGAACATTTATGCATTGTATTTGTTAAATTACTTACACATTGGCATGTATTTAAGTGTAACATTTCTCTTTTTTATGGAAGAGGATGTAATTTTTGAATTTGTAGGAAATGCATTTCAAGTCGTAATGTTTCTTTTGTTTAACTATTGGTTCAGTATCATTCAAAAGTTTTTAATAACATTTTGCTGATAATTTTATTATTTTATCCTTTTCTTATTGATTGCAATAACATAATCTTTCTTTTTTTTTTTTTTTTTGTAACTATTGTTTCGGTCAAATGTCTCTCTATATTATTTATTTTCCAAATATTTTTAGCAACAACAATAATAAAAAATGTTCTCATATATTTAATGATAACTTATACTTTTACTCTTTCTTTATTCATTGATTTGTTTCTATTTTTGTCGTTAAAGTAATAAGTCAAAATGATATATTTGATAATGATTTGTTCACTCCGACATCCATTGTAAAATATATATGATTGTTCCTTTTCTTGTTAGAGGGCATGTGTGTCCAAGTGATCCCAAGAGTTAGGCTGTCTGGAGTTTTAACTCCTGTAGGGCCAACCATGGCAGTGAGGCTGAGGAGAAGGGACCAGACTAAATGCGACCAACTCCCCAAAGACCCCAATGGCAGAATAGGCAAAGATCTACACAATTTTAATGGCCAAACCAGTGGAAGAGGGCAGCACCAGTTGAGCTGGCATAACCAAGGCGGAACTTGACAAACCAAGCATCTGATAGCTCAATGCAACCAGGTTTGCTAGATCTTTACCTGCCTCAATATTCTTTGAGTTACACTTTTGGCCAAGTGTATGGGCTTCTCTGTTGTGCAGAGTTGTCCACCAAAATCAAGTTCATGCAAATGACCTTGTCAAACTCTCTTTGAGATATATTAATGATTATATTTGATGATGATTCATTTACTCCAATACTGGTGGACTCTCCAGCAAAAGGACTATTCTGGCAACAATGTGTAGTTGTTCCAAGGCACTCACCAGTGAGCAGTTCAATTGAAAAACTGTAACTACTGATTTCAACCAGCCATACATGCACTGAACTACTAACAGAGTATATGCAGGCCAACAATGATATGGAGTCACTGAGCAGAGAGATTCCTACACTGAAGTCATTGACTTAGGAGGAAGTGTTCCTCCTCCTCATGATGGAATCAATGGAAACCACCATATGTCCATGCCTGAGGTGAGCCTTTTAGTCAGAGAACATTGGTTGAAGTCTGACCTGAAGTGGGATGGGTTCTATCAGGTCCATTTTGCCAAATACGCATAACTTATCAAGACATGTGGAGGAAGATAGTCAGGCGCTCAGTTGCCTCTATGACTACACTTGGTCATGGGATTGACAATGATAAAAAGAGTAATATTTTCATGATTTATTTTTTTTTTAGGTATTGTTTGTTTTACATTACATAAATAAGGCAACCACTTGGACCAAAATTGCTCTCGACTTGTTCAGGGCCAATTAACACTCTGCTTCTTCTATATTTGCTCGTGTTTTCTCAAACAAAATAGTGCGGCAGTAACATAAATGATTTAAAGGAAAAATTCAATTGTTCAACTAATTTTCATTAACTAACAACTCACATGCTCCTAATTTTCATCACTGACTGTCCTGATGTCATCAGTTCTCAACTCTGTATCTATACTGATGACACAACTATTTATTCCTGTTAATAGTAAGTTTGATCGGTTCAAGAAGGTCAAATTGGCAACAGATATAAAAAAATGACCTACTTTCTGTTGTTAAATGGGGCAAGAAATGGCTTGTTAATTTTAATGCCTCCAAAATAAAACTGCTCTCTTTTAATCATCTGAGAGAATACTTTTTACCTTCCATCTGCATGGCTGATGCTAACCTCCAGGAGAGTGACCCCTTGCAACTTTTCCACTGACATGAAGTGGAAAGATTATATTGAATCAGTTGTTAAGTCTGTTACTGGGAAAGTTGGTTCACTGTGTTGTACCAGACAATTTTTCTCTCCAGAATCTATTTTACATATTTATAAGTCTACCGTTCATCTATGCATTGAATATTGCTGCCACATTTTGCTTGGTACCCCTGCTATATATTTATAGATTCTTGATAAAATCCAAAGAAGAATCTGCAATGTTATTGGTCCTGACAACTTGGCTTCAGTCACTTTCCTACCATTGTTACAGAGCTTCCCTCTGCCTTTTCTATAAATACTCTCATGGTAATGGTTAGATGTAACCACAAATTCTATGCTAACAATTTCTTCTATCACACTTTGCTCTTATGGAACACTCTTCTGGTTTCCTATTTCCCAGTCAAATTTGATCTGCAAAATTTTAAATGCAATGTCAATTGTTATTTTCTGTCTTCTTAATCCCTGTTCTTGTTTTCTCTCCTTAATAGTATTTTTTTCTCATATTCTCTCACATTCAGTAACCCCTTGTATGTTAGTGGCTTTATTGCCTTGATTGGGGGTGAAATTTTTAAAAAGAACCAACAAAAAACTCTTGGAATGATGTTGATTATTTTCAAAATTGGTGACAATATCTATTTTTATTAGAAGCATTACTCAGATATCATAAGGCTTGTGCCATAATTGTATTTTTATGCAATAAATATTGGCTGATGACTTCAGTGATTGGTGAAATGTTTCTGTGATGTCATAAGGCTGAATACTTCAATGGTTGGTTGCATTTTTTTATGATATCATAGCTTTTGTGATGTCATAAGAAACATAACATCATTGAATTATTTTCTGAATTTTTTCTGGGTACATTTCAACATTTTTCCTTTTTTTACAGGAAAACACAATGGTTTGTAAATCAGAACTTTTAATAATTTTGTTTTTTCAGAATTTTGAGTGCATATTTATTTTGCTTTTTATATTTTTTATTTATTATATTTTAAACAGTTTTTAAGAATTTTCTTAATGTTACCATCAGACTCAGCCATTCATGGCTTTTATTAAACTAGAACTATTTTGTAAAATAGCTTCCAAAAGAGAGCAGTGAAGAGTAAGGAAAGAGAGAAAGAGAGAGACAGCAGTGAAGAGTAAGGAAAGAGAGAAAGAAAGAGACAGCAGTGAAGAGTAAGGAAAGAGAGAAAGAAAGAGACAGCAGTGAAGAGTAAGGAAAGAGAGAAAGAGAGAGACAGCAGTGAAGAGTAAGAAAAAAGAGAGAGCAGTTAAGAGTAAGAAAAAAGAGAGAGAGCAGTGAAGAGTAAGAAAAAAGAGAGAGAGCAGTGAAGAGTCAGGAAAGAGAGAGAGAGAGAGCAGTGAAGAGTCAGAAAAGAGAGAGAGAGAGAGCAGTGAAGAGTAAGAAAAGAGAGAGAGAGAGAGAGCAGTGAAGAGTAAGAAAAGAGAGAGAGAGAGCTGTGAAGAGTAAGGAAAGAGATGGAGAGAGAGAGCAGTGAAGAGTTAGGAAAGAGAGATGGAGAGAGAGAGAGCAATGAAGAGTAAGGAAGGAGAGAGAGAGCAATGAAGAGTAAGGAGAGAATTAAGTGGAGTGTAAGGATTTAGAAGTGTGGAGAGTAAGGAAGGATGGAAAGGGAGAGATGTGGAGAGTAAGGAAGGAGAGGGAGAGAGAAATTAAGAGTATGGAGAGAGAATGAGAAGTGAAGAGTAAGAGGAAAACTGATAGGAGTCCAGTCTATGAATTGTAATCAAATGTAGATTAAAATATGAAAATGATAGAATAAGGAACAAATACAAAAAAACTTATAAATTTAATGTTTCACTTTTATTTAAACTTCATCAGAAATGTTTGAAAATGAGATATGGAAGATAAGATTCCAGTACTTTAAGTTCTGCGTGCTTTGTTTTTCATTGGTCAGATAAATCTGACATGTCTTTGTCTTGTGATGTTATATGTACCCCAAAGAACTTTATTATTAAGACCAAGTCATTTTTTTGATTAAATTATATTTTTTATCATTTTTAGAATATTCAAAATTTTCTTTTTTGCATCAATGGATGACCATTAATTAATATAAGAAATTTTAGCATTTTTTTTATTTTTTATTTTATTTTTTTTTGCAGTGAAAAACACCTTGATTTGCAAATTCTTGCAAAAATGAAATAATTGTCAGATTTTAATGAAATTTTCAGGAATTATTCAAAAATAAAAAATTAATTTTGAAATGTTTCTTTCTTTGAAAATCTTGGTGACAGTGGCTTAAAACTTATTGTCCTGAAAGTCAACTAATAAGAATGATCTGATAAATTTCTATTCTCATCATAATGACAAAATAAAATCTGAAACAATTATCAGATTCTACTTAAGAGCACTCAGAATTTGCAGCTCACAGTATTTACACAAAGAAGAGAAATACATTGAAAATACTTTCAAACTCCTCCAATACTTTAATTATTCATATACGATGTGAAACAAAAGGCTCATAAAATAGAAAAGGTGTCCTTTCTGACACTCAAAAAATCAAAAATATTCTACTTAGCAACTCTATCACAACTAAAACTAAAAAGAATTTATCTAAACTCAACATAAAATTTGTCACAACTATGTACAAAACAATAAAAGATTTAATTAATAAAAAAATAAGCTATAAATTGAAGGAGAAATTTACTCTATTACATGTCATAAGGAATACAAGGGAGAAACCTCAAGAAATTTAAATAAATGATTAATGAACATAAAAGGGATCTTTTACAAAACAGTACATTAAATGCATTGGTTACTCAAGAGAAAACAATTTACTAAGATGAAAATGTTTAAAAAGTGGTTTAATTGCAAGATCATCCACAGTAAATATGCGTCCAGGTTCTTACGTTTCACCATTCTTGACAGATCTTTTATTATCACAATATGGGATATTTAATAACAAAGGTGATGGAAGAATAAACAAAAAATATCTCAATGAAATCAGCTAGGATCATATACCCAAAACATTGTTTTATAAATTTAAAATTCCCAGTGTCGTTCATTCTATATATATATATATATATATATATATATATATTAGCTTAAAAGCCACCCTATCCTGTGGAAGACTCTTGATCACTGTATTTAAGTATTGCATTAATATTTAAGCTTACCTTTTAAAAGTTCAATGATAATTCTTCTGCTGTCATTTAAAGACAGTTTGATGTACATAGGTCCTTATTTTCCATATAAATTTCATGAGTGATTTTCGCTGAATTTCTTGCTTAATTTTTGATTATTCTCAAGGTTATAAAAATTGTTATTTTTTTTTTATGTACAAAAAATTTATCACAAAAATCACATGAAAAAATTGCCACAGTAATAAAAACTTGAGAATCCAAAATTTCAGGATTGCATGTCCAGATCTAGCCTGGAATGTTTTTAATTTGCTCACAGATCAGCCTGATTCCAAAATCTTATATCTTTGGTTACGGCCTCTAGGAGTAAAATTTAAAAAGTATGACACACTTTCTTGGATGTTCTTGTTGAACATTGAAACAGTTTCTTTATTACCTGCATTTATCACAAACCTATGTTCACAGGTCTGTACACTAATTGTAATGCATCTGTTTTAAAAGCTCAGTCTAATTTCCACCTTAGTTCATCACGTGCTGATGATTTGTTTTCCCCTATACTCTTGACCAGGAACTAGAGAAACTTCATCACATTTTTACTGACAGTGGTTTCCCTGCCAATGTTGTTAAGCACGTATTTAAGCATAATATTAAACGTTTTAATGAACAAATAGATTTTGCTCCCAGTCTTTTGCCCTATTTATTTGAAACTACTATGGCCAGGTAGGAAGAATCAAATGCTTGCAGACAGAATATCAGCTTGCATTACATCGGATTTTTCTACCGTCAAGTTACGGGTTGTTTTTAAGACCAATTTGGTGTTTCCATCTTTTTCTAAGGATCGTCTGTCTTACTTTCAAAGTAGTTCTGTCATATATAAGTATAAATGTCAGTGTCATGCTGAATACATAGGATGGACCAGTCTGAGGTCCATCCTACATCCATATGTGCCAACATGTTCCAGCTAATATAAAATTAGGCAATCTGAGTCTTTCTTCTAGGACAACTCAGTCTGAACATGAGTTGGCAATAGGTCAACATCTACTTGACAATCCCAACCATGCCACCAAATATGTAGATAGATTTTTATCTGTTTTGCACAAAGCCTGGTCTGCTCACCACTTGCGTGCTCTTGAAGCTGTTTATATTAAGTTACATCAACCGGATTAGTACAAGCAGAAAGAACATTTCATTCACTCTCTACATTTGTTTGAAGGGTCATGAGTGAAAATTTTTCCCTTTTACATTCAGTTGGAACTGTTTATTATTTATTTTACTTGCGGATTATTTTCTATTAAATATTTTTTTAATCATGTTCCAAAGTTACCCTCCTCATTCAATATATATATATATATTTTACAAATGTTATCTCTTTTGTTTAGTCAAATTTGTGCGAATGGTTACCTTTGAAAAAGTGTTGGCTGATTCCTTTATGAAAAGAAAAAATGAAAAAAGCTGTTGTGCTTTTTCAAATCAAGTCCTTGTTCATATATATATATATATATATATATATATATATATATAGCACTTATTTACCTTTTTATTTAGATTTTTTATCAAACATTTAGCTACAATTGCAATATGTCTACAGAGATGAAAACTGCATATCAATGTCTGACTCTCTGTCACTGGTCCTGCCACAACTTCTGATGACTGACACTGCTAAAAACACCTGACCTTAACTCTGATCCATTTACCAGTGCAATTTGATAGAACAATAAATTAAATTTTTGGTTTAATTGATGAAAAACTCAAAAGAAATGCAATAAAAACATTTTCTTTCTTCTTTTCCAGAGTGAAAGTCCAAGTCGAAAGCGAAGAAAAACTTCGAATAATGTTGATTTGGAACTGACAAATTCTTCCAGCCCATCCCCATCAAGGCCATGGGAAGTAAACAGTGAAACTGTTCGATTTGTTAGACATTGGAGTACCTCTCATCAACGAAGAAGCTCAGGGGAGAATTGTGTGACTCCCAAATCAAGACGAAGGTAAGAGACTTTTTGTTGATTATACTTCAGCTATCATGTCACTGACCATCATTGGCAGACTGCCTGAAATGCATGATCTAAGAGTGATTGTCTGATGCTGTTTACAGATTCCAGATTTGGCAGGAGATTTAAATTTATAAAAAAAAATTTGGTAAAGTTTAACAAAATGTACCCACAAAAAAATGCTATGTCAAAAGGACAGTTTTTCTCTTGACACTGTTTTTAATTACTGTATACTCCATCTTTTTGCAGGTGTGTTTCTTAAACTCTGCCAAATTGTTTTTGTAAATAAACACTCTAATCAGTATATAGTGTTTAACCATTTTTTTGTTGATTCTTGGGAAAATAAGTTAAATTCAGATGCTCTCAGCCTATTTGAGTGAATTTATTTGGTGAAAGTAAATTAAAGAAATGTTTGGAAAATGCATTTTTTTTTTTTCAAAATTTCTAATTACAGTAACTCATTGTGATGTTTTTATTTAAATTTTCTTGTTCTATAGTTCATGAACATTTTTATAAATTTATGAATAAAAAATTTGTTTTTATAGGAGCAAGTAATAAATATTGCATTGTAGTTGGCTCAGACATTTTTATAATCTTGTAAATATAAAATTATTTTTGTAGATAGTCTATGTAATAAATAGGGTGTAACATTTTTGTCAATTCTTAAGAAAAAAAAATGTATAAATCAATTTCATACACTTGAGTTTTAATACAATTCTAAAAATAGCTTTTTAAAACAATAAAAATTATTGCGGGTGTATGTGGTAATCCATGACGGCAAGCTGAGAGAACCATTCTCCATGCAAATTTACAACAAGATCCAGATCTTCAACACTAACATCAAGTTGGTCCTACTTTACAGTTCAGAAATCTGGTGTGTAACGAAGACCAACACCCACAAACTTCAAACGTTTACCAACTGATGTCTCAGGAACATCCTGGATATCAGGTGGTAGAAAGTCGTCTCTAATGACCAACTGCAGGACAGGACCAGACAAGCTCCAATCTATGGCCAATCTGAGATCAACAACCCTCTCACTTTACAACAAGATTCGGATCTTTAACATCAATGTCAAGTCAGTCCTACTTTATGCTTCAGAAACCTGGCGGGTAACTAAGACAAACTTCAAACATTTATAAACCGATGTCTCAGGAACATCTTCAATATCAGGTGGCCAGAAGTCGTCTCCAACAACCAACTGTGGGACAGGACCAAGCATGCCCCAATCAAGATTGACATGAAGAAACGGAAATGGGGATGGATCGGCCACACACTCCACTAGCCAGCTTCTAGTTTCACCAAGCAGGCCCTTAACTAGAATCCACAAGGGAAGGGAAAAGTGGGTTGATCAAAACAGACTTAGTGCAGAAGTGTTGACACAGAGGTGAAAGCAGCCGGCACAACATGGGCTGAGCTGAAGATGGTCGCCCGGAACCACGTCTGTTGGAGAGCTGTTGTTGCGGCCCTATGTTCCCCAGGGAATCAAGCGGCATACTAAATAAAATAAATAATAAGGCAGTAGAAGTGTTGTCAAGATAAAAAATAGTCCTTTTGGCACACTGTTTTTTTGCAGATACATTTGTTAAACTTTGCCATTTTTTTACTTTTTATATTGATTCTTATGTAAAAAGAAAGTTAACTATTTGTCAGGCTGTGAGAAGCAGGATTTTCAAAGGAATTTAAGAGACTACACTTTACTTGAACTCACCCAAAACCCATGTATGTATCCAACTTTGGCAGTCAGTCTCCTAGACATAACACCAGTGCATTGGATTCATTGTAATAATTGCATAGTTTTTGTGTTTATCTTATCTACCAGTAAATACACTGCATATATGTGTATCTTGATGTGTATATCTAACAGAGATAATATATATGGTAATATCATCTGTTTACTTATAAGGAAATATTCAACATTCATTGACTTGAGCACCTTGAACAACTGTTGGTTGAAATTTTTAAAATCCTTCTCTTGTTGTAACCTAGAAAAGGTTATTGAATGAGGAATAACCAAAACGGGGGTTGGAAATAAAATGGTAATCTTTATAGCATCAACACTCGCAATACTCGCCAGCAGCATGAAGTAGGTAAACCACTGCTAGTGGTGGACTACTTAGACAGCATATTACTCCCTTAACAATAGTGTCCAATGTATTTATGAGGATTGGGACATACCCATTAGTGTTCATAGATACAATATATAACATCTCTTAAAACGTTTTCAGAATAGGTTTCTCATGTCCAGTAGCTGTTATTGCTCTTTCCAGTATTGATGAGAGTTTCCTTTCTAGCCTTTTATTTGAAGTAGTGTGGAAAGTCGATATCTTCATTATGCCATTATTTTGTGTTCGAGTGCTATCCATTTTAGCTGTTGCCACTGTTGAAAGTCCTCAAGTAATGTGGTTTCTGTTATCCACTTGACAAGGTTTGAAGAAGTGTGGTCATCACCAAAAACCATCACTGACTCAACGCATTTTTAACCATTGATCTTAAAAAGCGGTTGTATACAACTGGCAGTTTAAATATTTCTGAATGGGTTTGGCATGATGCATCTCATCCATATGAAAGTCTTTATCTGACAAGGCTATTTAAGATCATAATAGGTTTCTAAAGTTCAGTAGATATCATCGCTATTTCCGGTATTGATGGGTGGGATGAAACATTATATCACTGCCGACTCTGCTGAACTCATCTCCATGACAACTCGCCACCATCCTACTCAGTGCAAGGACAAATGAACATTGGCATTGAATTCATAGCTTCAGACCATTGTTGGCTGTTATAGTATGCACATCTCTTAGATCGGCTTTGTGTCCTAGAGATTTTGAAAGTTTGGCTATTTGTCTTAATGATTTATTAGTTAAAACAGCCTATTTGGCTGACTGATGTTTAATTTTCAAGATCAGACAAATAACCCTCCTAAAGCAAATAGAAGACTGTACACAGAGCTGGGGATGGAGATTCATTACGAGGCTGCAAAATATGCAAAGAAACTGAGATGCATTTTTTGAGCAATTAATTGGAAGTCAGCCCCCCCCCCCTCCTCTAAATTGAAGAAGTCTGTGAAGGCAGATGAAAGAATTTTGCAGATTGCTTCTTCTTTTTCACAAATTTTTAAGTTAAAGTCATGTATTTAAAAAATGTTCCCTAATAAATTACTTTTATTTATTTTTAAAAAGTTGCTGAAAAATTTTCATAGTTTGCATGTTTGTCCCCATGCTGAGTAGGCTGGTGGTGAGTTGTTCTGGAGATGAGTTGTCCTGCACCCTTGATAGGGGCCTTCTTTCTAACCTTTTGTTTGAAGTAGTGTGGAATGCCAACATTTTGATTCCACCATTAATTTCTCTTCAAGTAACACGTGATATTCATTTTATCTTTTGCTGCTGTTGATAGTCCTCAAGTGACGTGGTTTCTGTTATTTGGTACAGTTCTTTGTTTGTGATTCTGTAGTTGCCAGTTCATAGTATTCAAAGAAGCATGGTTATCATCCAGACCAATAAGCTTCACTCACTCAAAGCCATTTTTAACCAGTGATCTTAGAATGCGGTTGTATACAACTGACAGTTTAAACATTTCTGAACAGGTTTAGTGCCATGCAGGACATTCATATGAAAGTCTTGATCTGATGAGGCTATTTAAGAAAATGTCCTGTTTTTAGATTAATGTTTTGTTATTTCAGGTTAATACCAGGTTTTAGTTAAAAAATATTGTTTACTATACTGACAACTCCTGGTACTTGATAATAACTGAGATAGTGAAAAGTACTTAAGCAAAATAGAAAAAAGAAAACTTTGGACAGTTTATTCATAATTTCAATTTCAGTATACAACATTTCATTTGGTAATTAGGAAAATATATTAAAATGTAAGACAGACCTTATTGATTGAATTTAACAAAACTTGCTTGGATATCTCCAAGCAAGTTTTGTTATATATATAAAATAAATCTAAGAAAGGGAAAATATAGATGGGGGCCACTAAAAATGAATGGAAAAAAAGTGCAATAAACACAGTTTTAAACACAGTAAATATGTCCAACCTACAGAGCTGTCAGTGTATTATTGGAAGATTAAAAAAGAAGTAGGTAAGTCTCCTAAAATTACCTGGAGAATTTATAAAAAAAATAGTACATGTAAAAATGTTAGGGATAGATGTAAGCTTTGCTTGGAAGAAAAATTTTCAGCAACAATAACAGGATACTTAATAAAAAAACAGAGTTAATTAGTAGATGCAGACATAACATAAAATACCTATTATATTACCTACTAGCAGTAGAGCCCGGCGTTGCCCGGGGATGTAACAGTAAGAGACAGATCAAGTATCGACCATCATAAAGACTGAAAAATAAAATTGACAAAGATTATTGTTTAAGGTTGACGGACACGCATGTCTTAATTAGTGTTTTTGTTTTGTTTTGTTTTTATAGAAACACTACCTGCCAAAAAAAAAGTGAAGTTTTGTTGAAATCAGTTGAAAAATGTAGGAAATCCGATCCCATATATAAACGAACACACACACACAACCTGGGTTTTATAATACATATAATTCAATATGAGTTGTCCCCCTTTCATTCTTGCGATGCCTCTTAATCGTGTTTTCAAATTGATTTTGTGCAAAAACAATTGTGTTTTTCCAATTTTTGGCACTGTCAGAACCACCGCAAGGTAATTTTACGTAGTCCTGTGAAGTTTTGTTGAAATCGGTTGAAAAATGTAGGAAATCCAATCCAATATATAAACGTACAGACACACACACACAACCTGGGTTTTATAATAAGTATGATCACCAGACTAGCATATTACTTTGTTGGTGATTTTTTTTTTCTCAACTGAACCCAACCATACAGTACAACATTTAGTAGTTTAGCCTACCTACAGGGGATTTTTCTTTGCCTGTTTACTTTTTCCCCTGTGTAGGTGTGTTTTTTTAATGAAACACTTTTTAAAGAAATCATTCCCCCTCCCAACACCCTTGATGCTTTAGGGTAATTCACAGGTTATATAAAGCCTAACCCTCCTTTTTTCCACATCCGTTCAAGTTGTCTGAAGATCACTTGAGTGTGAAACTTGAGTTATGATTAGAGTCATCCTTTCATAGGATTTAACATTGGTAAGCATTTTTTACCCAGTCTAGGCAATCTGGGCTTCGAGCACTTTACTGAGTTGGTAAGTTTGCTTTTAGGCATTTTTTCTCTTTCTTTTTTCAGTATTGTTGGTTTTATCCAAGATTCTATTTGGTTAAACATTTTAGGTTTTGGCAAGCACTGGTTCCACCAATGATTTTTGTTTTACTTTGTGATATATATATATATATATATATACACACACACACACACACACATACATACATGCATACACATTTTCTTATTCAGACATTTCTGGACACACATCCCAGCAAATCACCCTGTCTCTCTCTCTCTCTCTCTCTCTCTCTATATATATATATATATATATATATATATATATAACTTCAATTTTTGAAGTGTTATCTGATGATCCAGCATCCCTTAAAAGAGCTCTGGTGAAATAAATTATTATAATGTAACCTTAAAGTGGTCTGTTTTTCTTTAAATTATTAGCTCTGGATTTACATTGAGCTCTCAGAATTTCATCCTCCTTGGGACTACCCATATGGATTACCAAGTTTTTCATAACTATATATATATATATATATATATATATATATATATATCACTCATGTTATCTTCAGATGACTTGAATGTTCAAATCATCTGAAGATCATGTGAGTGTGAAACTCTGGTTATGACTAGGACCATCCTTTCATAGAAATTAACATTGTCAAGCATTTTCTGCTCTGTCTATGCAATCTTTGATCCCTTTACTGAGTAGGTAGATGTTTTGTTTTTAGTTTTTTTCAGTGATGTCTACCTTGATGGCATGTCCCTTAGATACACACACACACACACATATATATATATATATATATATATATATATATATATATATATATATAATATAATATAAATTTTTATGAAATTTGAATAATTTCACATAATAATTCATTGAATCTAGAACAAGAATCCTCAACAGAATGCAGAAAAGCACTGGACAGCCATTTCATACTTTTTTGAGACTCATCAGCAGTGTGCATCCACTACCAAGAATCAAATCTGAAACATTATGACACAACACATGCGTCATACCACTGAGCCAGTGGGCCTCAGTGATAAACAGGAAACTAAATAGATCCCATAATGATACTCATCTAAGAAATACATAACCCACCAGAACCAGCCCCAAGAGCATATATATATATATATATATATATATATATATATATATATATATATATATATATATTTAATAATCAATCAAATCCATTTACCTCATATGGGGAATAAGCTATTTCAGCAGGTGACGAAAGTGGTTATCCATCGTGTCAACCCTGGTGTATAATGAAGTTTATGTCTGTAAGATTAGAGGAAGCAGGACGTACCAGTTAACTGTGAGGAATTGATATTGAAAGCTAAAGGGTCAACCTCAACCTTAACTTGCCAAAAAACCTAATACAGAGTTTACACTTATATATATATATATATATATACACGCATACACATACACACACACACACACACACATATATATATATATATATATATATATTTTTTTTTTTCTCTCATCAAATGTGTCTGGACACACATGATAGCCAATCTCATTCAATTTCCTTACACTTTGTTTTGATTTTATTGTCTTTAGAAGACAAACTGTGTGACACAGAATTTTTCAGCTTTCTCATTAATTTTCCAACATTGTTCTGATATATAATAATGGACTCTCCCGTCGGTTTAGACGTATGAGGATCTGACAGCTTAATTGATTCAGTTATGAAATTTTGTGCGATAATCTTAAGTGGCACTTAAGACCCACTAGTGATTTACAAAGGAAGCCACATAGGGTGCAAGAGTGAGGATTGTGAGATGAGATCACTGTTAGATTGACTGACCTTTTAGATCTTACTCTCACTTCTTGAAGATGATTCAGACAAGCAGATTGAAAACTGCTGAGTCCACTAAAACATGTTGATTTCCATTCTACCCCCTCCAAGGCTAAGCACTCAAGGGTGTTATGTGGTATATTGACAGCTGACAAGTTGCTCTTCAGCTTGTCTTTGTATCTTAGCCATTATTGTAGCCCTGATCTAATATATATATATATATATATATATATATATATATAGCTGGCCACTTGTATTTGAGGATACTTGTCTACTAGTGTGGCTAGCCAATCCCTACTGCAAATGTTTGCTCAGGCGCATTTGTGTTTATTCAACACCCACAGTGGTTTATACTGCAACTATACTGTGCAGACCTTAGTTACAGTTTCTGGGAAAGAGCATAGGATCTAGCATGATAAACAATTTGAACAAGGCCAGTACACCTCAGCCCTCAGCCATGATGACTTGGGACTTTATGCTAGCACAGCTATTACTTGGCACCCAAGGGTTCTGTCTACCCTATTTCACTCAATATATATATATATATATATATATATATATATATATATATATATATATATATATATTGAAAATCCTAAATGTATACCTTATACACACACACAATATATATATATATATATATATATATATATATAATGTAATTTTAATATCACAGATGTATACCTGTGTGTATGCATTCACTTTTTCTTTTCAAATCCCACATTCCAAGTTAGAATTAAATTGGGAGTTTGTTGTTCTTTTTCATTTTGACATTCACTTATCATACCACACACACATTTATTTTTATATATGTAATGTAATTTTAATATTACATTTGTATACCTGTGTATATGTATTCACTTTTTCTTTTTACCTCTTACATTGTAAGTTCGATCATTTTCTGTAAAGTTGAAACTTTGACAAAAAAAATCTTGCCTTCCAAGAAAAGAGAAAATTGGTACAAAGTGGATGATTTGGGCACAGAGAGTCACATTGATGCATGTCACAGTGTCTTTGTGTAACATTTCACTTGAAAAATGTTTACAATGCATGCATTAATGTGCTTATAGCAGTCACGATTGCAAACAAAAGCCCTGAAAACATGATTAGGAGAGTGGGCTGAACAAAATTTGAATGTAAGTTAAAATAAAACTAAAATATATAAAATGATTTTCTTCACAAGGATGAATCCAAAACTGAAAGAGATTTTCTCTCTGAATTTCTGAGATGAGTAGTTATTATTTACATTATACACATGCAGACACTTGTCCTCATCTTTGTTGTTATTATCACAATGTTTTGCCTTTCTGGAATGAGGAGTTATCATTATTTACATGCAGATTATTGTCCTCATCTTTGGTGCTATTATCACAATGTTTTGCCTTTCTGGGATGAGGAGTTATCATTATTTACATGCAGATTATTGCCCTCATCTTTGGTGCTATTATCACAATGTTTTGCCTTTCTGGGATGAGGAGTTATCATTATTTACATGCAGATTATTGTCCTCATCTTTGGTGCTATTATCACAATGTTTTGCCTTTCTGGGATGAGGAGTTATCATTATTTACATGCAGATTATTGTCCTCATCTTTGGTGCTATTATCACAATGTTTTGCCTTTCTGGGATGAGGAGTTATCATTATTTACATGCAGATTATTGTCCCCATCTTTGGTGCTATTATCACAATGTTTTGCCTTTCTGGGATGAGGAGTTATCATTATTTACATGCAGATTATTGTCCTCATCTTTGGTGCTATTATCGCAATGTTTCAGCTATTATATCCTCCGGCCTTCATGTGCTTGTTGGTCTGGATAACTGACTCCCTATATTTAATCTAAAGGCGCATATTTTTGTCATTCCATTGCCTATCTCTGAAGATGTCTAGTTTGTATTTTACTACTCGCCCTGTTTCCACTGATTTTAAGTACACACCGCCCAGCTCAGGAATTGAACTAGCAATTACGATGTCAACAAATTGAAACTTTTTCTATTTAATTTACATCAATATCTTTTTTATTTTTTTCACTTTTTTATGCTTTTTGTTTTGCTTTATTTTAAATAAATTTAATATTTACGTTCTTGATGATACTTCATTGTTTTATTTACTTTTTTATTTTTTTAATATCTTTGCTTTTAAACAAATAGATATTTGTTTTTGTTGAATTTGTGGGGGTAAATATATCATATTATAAAGTAGTTTTATAGGGTTTTTATTTACTTATTTTCAAATTTTAGTTGGCTTACAATCATATCACATTGAAACACTGGTTCTTGTACAATCACCAAAGTTAAGCAATGTTGAGTGTGCTCAGTACCTAGATGGGTGACCACTTGGAAATACCAGGTGTTATAAGCAATGGTGTAATGGATAATGTCTTGGATTTGTTGATTGGAGAGCTGAGTTCCAATTCCAGTCAGGATCATTACATTCACATATGCACAAATACCCTTGGGAAAGGCAGGAATCCACCTCTTCTGCTCCCCAGCTATGGGTTAATTAGTAGAACTTGTATCAGTAAATCATTGTTATCTTGAAAAAAATACTTACAATCTAAAAATATTTCCTTGCTTTATTAATTAACCCCCTGCCCGTAATTCTTACAATCTAAAAATATTTCCTTGCTTTATTAATTAACCCCCTGCCGCTAATTCTTACAATCTCAAAATATTTCCTTGCTTTATTAATTAACCCCTTGCCCCTAATTCTTACAATCTCAAAATATTTCCTTGCTTTATTAATTAACCCCCTGCCCCTAATTCTTACAATCTAAAAATATTTCCTTGCTTTATTAATTAACCCCCTGCCCCTAATTCTTACAATCTAAAAATATTTCCTTGCTTTATTAATTAACCCCCTGCCCGTAATTCTTACAATCTAAAAATATTTCCTTGCTTTATTAATTAACCCCCTGCCCCTAATTCTTACAATCTAAAAATATTTCCTTGCTTTATTAATTAACCCCCTGCCCGTAATTCTTACAATCTAAAAATATTTCCTTGCTTTATTAATTAACCCCCTGCCCCTAATTCTTACAATCTAAAAATATTTCCATGCTTTTATTAATTAACCCCCGCCCCTAATTCTTACAATCTAAAAATATTTCCATGCTTTATTAATTAACCCCTGCCCTAATTCTTACAATCAAAAAAATATTTCCATGCTTTATTAATTAACCCCTGCCCCCTAATTCTTACAATCTAAAAATATTTCCATGCTTTATTAATTAACCCCTGCCCGTAATTCTTACAATCTAAAAATATTTCCTTGCTTTTATTAATTAACCCCTGCCCCTAATTCTTACAGTCTAAAAATATTTCCTTGCTTTATTAATTAACCCCTGCCCCTAATTCTTACAATCTAAAAAATATTTCCTTGCTTTATTAATTAACCCCTGCCCTAATTCTTACAATCTAAAAATATTTTCCTTGCTTTATTAATTAACCCCCCCCTGCCCCTAATTCTTACAATCTAAAAATATTTCCATGCTTTATTAATTAACCCCCTGCCCCTAATTCTTACAGTCTAAAAATATTTCCTTGCTTTATTAAGTAACCCACTGCCCTTAATTCTTACAATCTAAAAATATTTCCATGCTTTATTAATTAACCCCCTGCCCGTAATTCTTACAATCTAAAAATATTTCCTTGCTTTATTAATTAACCCCCTGCCCCTAATTCTTACAATCTAAAAATATTTCTTTGCTTTATTAATTAACCCCCTGCCCTTACTTCTTACAATCTAAAAATATTTCCTTGCTTTATTAATTAACCCCCCTGCCCCTAATTCTTACAATCTAAAAATATTTCCTTGCTTTATTAATTAACCACCTGCCCCTAATTCTTACAATCTCAAAATATTTCTTGGCTTTAAATGAACTGTAAAGTGTTGATAAACCATTGAAAATGAATTAATGGAATGAATATTAATTAGCTACAGACATGTCATTTTGAATTATTTACATTCTCTGGAATGTAAATGCATAGGAATCCTTCTAAAATCTACTTCAGTTCTATACTCCCAACTCTTGTACTTACTTTCCTACGCTAATACAACACCATACAGTAACCCTCAACCTTAAGTGGCTCTTGGGCCTTGTACTGGGTGAATGTTTCTAAAAAAAAAAACTACCGTGGCTACAAAGTAAGGTATCAGGTAAGGTATTGATTATAATATAGAATTGATCCCTCATTTTATATCCACATTATAATTTCTTGTTTATCAAATTCTGATTATGTATGAATTCATCTCTTGTCTTTGTTCTGTGTTTTAATTAGTAAGAGTTAGATCACTAAATCATTATTACCTCCAAAAAAAAATTCTTAGAGTGTAAAAATATTTCCTGCCCTTAAATAAACTGTAAAAGGTTGATAAGACATAGAAAAAAAAACAGTCAATCAACTTTAGTTGAAAAATGCTGTTTTTGGTTTGTTTGTTTTTAAATATCAATATCCAATGATATAATTATTGCTTTCTTCTCAAATTTATTTTGTCTTGCTTATAATATATATTTTTTAATTTTAGAATATCTTTGCAGTACACGTATATTGCAAAACATGTTAAAAAGTATAACTGGAGACAGAATACTTAGAAACTCATATTTTCCACACTTATAAATCATCACAAGTAGAAATGATCTTCTTTAAAGAAAAACTTCTGTTTTGATGCACTCAATGAGAAATCCTTAGTGAAGAGAAAGGACAATAAAAGAACAGGGTTCAACTAGACAGAAGATGGCGATAATGCCACTAAGACGCAAAGAGTTGCTAGGAATGAAAGAGAATGAGACTTTAGTGAGGAGAAAGGACAATAGAAGAACAGGGTTCAAGAAGACAAAAACTGGCGATAATGCCACTAAGACGCAAAGAGTTGCTAGGAATGAAAGAGAATGAGACTTTAGTGAGGAGAAAGGACAATAGAAGAACAGGGTTCAAGAAGACAAAAAATGGCGATTGGCATTGCATTTAAAACATTTGAAGGTTGTAGGTGTCAGGAAAGCAAGAAATCAGAAGAGAGAGCCACATGTGAAAAGGGCAAGAAAAGAAACTATTAGAATAGAGCAGATGTATCCAAGCTTGCTTACCATGAGAACCTTGTACAGTATAGTTCAGATGTTTGAGAGCCACAAAACATGAACAAAATTTACCCATATGTTTTTGTTATATACACATTTTGTTATGAAATTTTTAGTTAAATATTAAGAAATGCATATTTGCAATAACATTTATTCATGTATGCAATTTTCAACTGTTTATATATATATATATATATATATATATATATATATATATATATATATATATATATATATATATATATATATATATATATACATATATATATATATATATATATATATATATATATATATATATATATATATATATATATATATATATATATATATATATATATATATATATATATATATATATATATATATATATATATATATATATATATATATATATATATATATATATATATATATATATATATATATATATATATATATATATATATATATATATATATATATATATATATATATATATATATATATATATATATATATATATATATATATATATATATATATATATATATATATATATATACATATATAATATATATACATATATTATATATATATATATATATATATATATATATATATAAATATATATATATATATATATATATATATATATATATATATATATATATATATATATATATATATATATATATATATATATATATATATATATATATATTATAAAATTAAAAATGTATTTTTTTATATTCATGGTTGAAGATATTCATTTTTTTTATAATTTCTCAGTATTTTGTAATTTTTTCTTTAATTTTTCAATTTTACCCAAAATTTGAATATTTTAAATTTTTTATATTTCTGTGAAAATTCGGAGTTTTTTTTTTTTTGTTCATTTTGCTTTTGTAATATTGTTTTTTGTTTTAAAACTTTGTATTTTTCTTGTTTTTTTGTGTAGTTGTTTTTTAAAATTTAATCCCTATTCATTTGCAATTTAATGTATTTTTTTTTTTTTTTCAACTTAGTCTCTGTTTTTCTTTGTTTCTCTCTACCAAATTTCATTCCCGCCCTATATTCTTTAATGAGGTCACCACTAAACCCAGGAAGACTCAAATCTCAGATTAGCACCAGAGCTCAAAAAAAAAAAAAAGATATAAAAATAAATTGATGTTCAGCTGAGATGGATTTGAATCTTTTTGTGTTTTTACCTTGAACATCTGTTGTGAAATGTGATGTAGTTGTGTGTTCAAATTACAAGGTGGAAATATTAGAAAAGAATTGAAAAAGAGGCTGTTATGGTTGTGTAAGTCTTTCTCCCTGAAACAAAGACTTTTGTCTTTTGTCAAAGGCAACATCACCCTGCCTGGTTAGTTAGGTTGCCTCACAGTTTCCTAAGCTCTTCTTTCTGCCAGGCTTCCTTGCACATTCGGCAGTCACATAGCATACAGCAGCAGCAGCAACATAACATGAATCGATCAATAGTTTATAACTAAGAATAAGTGCAGTGGATATAAAGACAGGGACCAATTTCATATTTCATCCAAGTTGTAAACAGAGACCTTTTTTCTTTTTCTTTTTTTTTAAGCAGCAGATGCTATATACACACTTGTAAGTAAACAATATTAGATTAACAAACCAGTGGACATTAAGTGGGGTATCACTTGAGTCTTATTACAAGTCATAAAAAGATCCCCCACTTTTTGCCATACTAGATTCTATATATTATTCTACACTAGGCAGTGTAAACAGTGATTGATCAATATTGGATTAACAAACCAGTTAACATTAAGTGGGGGATCACTTTAGTCTTAATACAAGTCATAAAAAGATCCCCCACTTTTTGCCATACTAGATTCTATATATTACTCTACACTAGGCAGCATAAACAGTGATTGATCAATATTGGATTAACAAACCAGTTAACATTAAGTGGGGGATCACTTTAGTCATAAAAAGATCCCCCATTTTTTGCCATTCTAGATTCTATATATTACTCTAGGCAGTGTAAACTGTGGCTGATCAATATTTGATTAAAAATCAATGAACTTGCATTTGATTTTGCAACTGCTTTGATGTTGTTATCCTCAGAATATAAAGCAACTGTTGTTTATTCATAAGACAATTTAATAATATTATGGGATAAAAGAAGCTGATACGATGGACAATAAAAGAGGGTTAGGGTCAGTTGGGGTTAGGTCAACATTTTTTGGATTATTTAATGTCAAATTGAATCTTTGTTTTATTATATTGCAGTCTATATGTATTGGTTTATTAAACTGGAGTCTATATGTATTGACTTG